AGCCTTTTAGCTTCATCAGATTTTCTTTTCTTCTCTTGCTCTCTGTCTACATGCTGGTCTATATTGGCCTTTTCTGTTCTTCTATCTATAGGTATCCCTACATCATCACCCTTAGAACAGTCCTTTTAAGAGTGTTGGAACCTACAAGATGAAATTTAGATCAAGAATTTCCCTTTTCAGATCAGACCTACAAGACGTAAGAGAAGCTGTGACTCCTGTGAATTCAGTAAATCTTACATAGGGTAGGTGGTCAACAGTTGTATGGTTTTGCCTTCCCATGTGTTTCCAAAATAAATGCAACTGAAAATTGGGCTTAATAGTTTCATGATTCAAAATGAATCCATGAATATTCTTTCATATATACTTTCATTGATCATTAAGAAATTGCCTTTATATATCTGAATTATTATTCAAAGATTTCTTTTTACCATTTGAGTTTAAAACTGCAAGGTAAAGGCTGGGATAGAGCTGGGGTTGTGACTCAGTGGTAGAGCACTTGCCTAGTGTGCATGAGGAACTGGGTTCCATCCTCAGCACCACATTAAAAAACTAAATAAATGAAATAAAATAAAATATTGTGTCCATCTACAACTAAAAGTATTATTTTAAAAAAGGGGTGGGATATAGCATGCACAAGGCCCTGGGAGTGAACCCTAGCACCACAAAAAACAATTAGAAAAGTTAAGTTTATTGGAATAAATTTTAAGGGGTGTTAAGGTCGCTATGTTTCGTTTAGCCTTTGCTAAGGTGAAGCTCATTTACATAGAGCTTCAGTCGGCTTTTTCACCATTGTGACCAAAAGACCAGACAAGAACTATTTTAGAGGAGGAAAGTTTATTTGGGGCTCACAGTTTTAGAGGTCTCAGTACATAGACAGCCAGCTCCATTGCTTTGGGCCTAAGGTGAGGCAGAACATCATGGTGGGAGGTACTTCATGGTGGGAGGTGAGGCAGAACATCATGGTGGGAGGTACATTTCCATGGCAGAGGAAAGTAGCTCAAGACATCATCACTGTGAAGCTGAAAGTGATTTCTCTCACCAAGACCAAATATGTACCCCAAAGGCTCGCCCCAGTGACCTCCCTCTTCTAGCCACATCCTACCTGCCTACAGTTACCACACATTTAATCACTATCAAGTGATTAATGCACTGATGAGGTTAAAACTCTTATAAGCCAGTCACTTCACCTTTAAATTTTCTTGCATTGTCTCACACATGAGTTTTGGGGGTCACTTAAACCGCAACACATACCCTAAACAACCCTATTCTTAAGTTGTATCCTAAAAAACAAAAAGCATCCTTTGAGTCACTAAATTTGCTTTGGATTTGTGGTGTTCATGTGAGATGCTTTGGTATAGAATATCTTTTAAAATAATTTTATTGGTGCATTATAATTATACATAGTAATAGGATCATTATGCTATATTTGTAAGTGCACATAATAACCACAGTCTCATTTCCCAGTACTTTCCCTTTCCTTTGCCTCTTACCTCCCCCTGATCTGCTTGCTCTCCTCTATCAATTTTCTATTATTGTTGTTAGTGCATTTTTAAGTGTGTGTGTGTGTGTGTGTGTGTGTGTGTGTGTGTGTGTGTGTCTGTGTCTGCAGGACTCATTGTAGCATGTTCATAGCATAATTTGACAGATTTCATACCCCAGTACTTCCCCATGTATTCCTACCCGCCCCCAGTTCTCTTCCTCTACTCTATTTGTCTTCTACTTTTGTCTTTCTCTCTGCCCCACCTTTTTAAATCCCTTCTATCCTCCACTCCCACCCTCAACCCCTAGTTTCTACATATGAAAGAAAACATTTGACTTTTAACTTTCTCCACTGGCTTGTTTCACTTTGCATGATATTCTTTAGTTTCATTCATTTACTAGCAAATAATATAATTTCATTTTTCTTTATGGCTGAATAAAATGGCTTTGTGTATATATACTGCCTTTTCTTTATTCATTTGCCTATTGATAAGCTGGTTCCATAACTGGGCTATTGTAAGTTGCACTACTATAAACATTGATGTGGCTGTATCAATGTGGTATGCTCATTTTAGTTCTTTTGAATAAATACCAAGTAATGGGATAGCTGGGTCATATGGTGGTTGTCTCTTGACCAGGCCAATAACTGTAAATACAAATAACACTTGTTGCAGAATTTATTTCTTAGATTATATTCTAGTGTGACTTGGAAGGAGATCCTAGTGTTCTAAGACAAAAAGAAAAATAGACTATAGGGAAGTTAAAATTTTTCTCTTTTCCACCCAAAAGGGGTTCAATAATTTTAGTCATATGAAATGAGTTGACAATAGATAGATCACAGGAGCCAAACACATTTTATGAGACTTAAGAAAAGGGCATGGTGATTGCCATTTATATAATAAATTAGCACAATTCTTTCTTTTTCCTCCTCTAGTTATATCATGGTTTTGACTGTGTAACTATATATTCTTTACTGTTGAGTGGTGATTATTCAAATTTTGTTTTCTTTGCACTGAAAATATACTTTAGCTCACTCTGTATCTATCGCCAATTTCTCTTCTTGATATGTTCAAACATATCAGGAATTTGATTTCATTGTTCTAGATTTTCTCTTGTGAAATCTCTTCTCTTGGGGTTGGGGTTATAGCTCAGTGATTGAGTGTTTGCCTCACATGCGTGAGGTACTGGGCTCCATCCTCAGCACCACATAAAATAAATAAATAAATAAAACTATATATATATATATAATGAAAAGAAAGAAATCTCTTGCTTGTTTCTTGACTCTTCTTAAGGTCCCAGGATCACCCTTAGGGATTAATCAAATACCTTGTTTCTATGTTGGTTCCTGTATTTCCTAGATACACCTGACTCCTTTCCCTTTTCTTGGTTTGTGAATTTATTTTGATGGAGCAGGTGTTACCCTGGTTCTCTTGAGATAGAAGGCAAATTGAGATGCTATGTCTAAAAATGTCTGTAATTGATATTTTTGTTAGATGTAGAACTCAAGGATTTCAAAGGTACTGCTTCTTTCAGTTGTCTAATAAATCCCAGGGCTGCTCTTGGATACTTTCTGGTTCCTGCTTTTCTATATGTGATCTACTTTTTGTTGTTCTGGTTTTGAATTTCTGACAGACTTTATGTCTGTTGTCATCAGTATCCTGCAATTTTGTGATGTCATGCTCTGTCTGGTTTACATCTTTTTTTTTTTTTTTAATATGTTGAGCATTAGGCAGGCCATTTCTTATTATTTCTTATTTTTGCCTAATTGGATACAATAGCTTTTCTTGTCTAAAAGCTTTTCTTGTCATATAATTATATGATTTTATCTTTTTCTTTTCTCAGTTTTCTTCTGTTCCCTGGCCTAACTCGAGTTCTTTTTCCTCTTTTCCTATGAATGGTATGTGTGTGTGTGTGTGTGTGTGTGTGTGTGTGTGTGTCTGTTCTCCCTCTTCTTCTTTCCCTCTCTCTCCTCCCTCCCTCTCTCTCCTCCCTCCCTCCCCACCCCTCTCTGTTGGGTAGCTATTCCTGTATTCCACAGTGTTATTAACCTACATGGGACCATAACCCCTTTTGCATGCTGAAGCTTATTGACAGAAACTCTTTAAAATCAAAAAAAATTTGTTCTAGTAAAATATACTTATCTGAATATTTTTCAAAACTATTCTATATCAGTATATGTACTTGTTTATTAACATATTCAGTAAAATAAGAGGTAGCTCTAACAATGATCATAATTTTGAAGTAATGATTAGTATAAATATTTTCGAAATATTAGCACCAACTATAATATATGAAAATATCTGATTTTTATTGGCAATAAGTACACGTATTGCCAATACTATTGTTATCTATAGCCTATATTTATAATTATAAAGAGATGTCCCATTTCAAATAGAGGTTAATGTAAAAAGTTGTTTTTTACATTCAAGTTCTTGGGCCTTTTGAAGTCTATTGAATAATCGATTAGTCCTAGGGGAATTAAGAACACTTTGATTAGAGGTTTTTTTCAGTGTAAGATACTGTAAAGCTGATTGTGGAAACTCTGGTGACAGAATGGGGCTTGACAACTAGAAGTCTTCAGTGTGAGTTGTGAGGTACTTAGCTTTCATTGCTTCTATATCTTTCTTCTTAGGACTCAAATCTCTTCCCCAAAGAATCCACAATATTCTGTATATGGAATTTCAGTTTACTTCTCCGTTAGATAATTTTGCTTTCTCATATTCTTCTAGCAGAATTTGCTTTTGTGATTTTACTGAATGGATGGGTGGATAGATAGATAGATAGGATTTTTTTTTCTTGTGTTCCAGTAAAACTTTATTTACAGAAATAGGAGGGCTAAGAATGTAGCCCAGGAGCAGAGCACGTACCTAACATGCATTAGGTTCCGGGTTCAATCCCCATCGCCACGGTAAACAAAAAATGAGCAGGAGATAGATTTGGGCCCCAAGACTTATTTGTTGTCCCTTAGTTAGTTTTTACATTTTAACATCTCACACATTCTATGTGGTATTCCTTAGGTGGATTTACCCTAATTAATTTAATAAGCCCTTTATTAATATACATTAACCTTTCAGGTTTTTTTTTTTAATTACAAGCAGTTCTGCACAAACAGCCTTGTTATCATTGAGTATTTTTCTAAGTATATCTGGAAGAAATTCTTGGAAATGAAATTACTGTATTGAATGTAGGCATATTTAAAATATTGGCATAAATTGCCAATCTGCTCTCCATAAAGATTATACCTGTTTATGCTCTGTCAGTGATATGTGAAGGTGCTGACTTCCCCACCACACACTTGTCAAATCTGAGACTGTGAAAAAGGCCATGCACTTTAGCTCTAAAATTAAAAAACTATTTTTGGGTTGAGGGGTTCTGAATGGTTATATTAGATATGTTCTTATTAAGCGTGGTCATTCCAGAAAAGTGCACATATCCTCTTTTAATATTAAAAAATCCTTAATATGACAAGAAAATAGGGCTGTTTCTTTATTTCATATTTAATTTTCACCCTGATTTTCCAGGAGCTTTCAAGTTGTGGATGGAATAAGAAGGAAAAATATAGTTCTGCACCAAATGCAGTTGCCTTCACAAGAAGATTTAATCACGTGAGTTGTTTACAATTTTGATGCTTAGTTTTTGAAATTCTGTTCCTTAGTACATAATTTTTCTAAATAGGAAATTGTTTCATTTTCACATCGATTCTGGAATATTTTTGGCCAGTATTTCTTCAAATATTTTTTTCTCATGATTTTTGCTTTTTTCCCTCTAAAATTACTACAGTACTTTTGTTGAAAGTTGGCCTTCTTTCTTGCTTGTCTCTTAACCTTTCCTGTTTTCACACCTGTCTTTTGTGTTCCATCCTGAGGATTTCTTCAAGTCTGTATTTCAGCTCACTAATTCTCTCAGATGTGCTCTATCTGTTTCAAACTATATGCTTTTACCATAGTGTCATATTCTTAGTTACAAAAGTAAAAAGTTTCTTAAGTAATTTTGGGCAATTTATTTTATAGTTTCTGTGTTATCATCTGAAGTTCTTGGGATACTTCTCTGTTTATCTCTACTAACCTTTATAGTGGTGTGTTTTCTTAGCTGATTGGTATCTGTGCATGGAAAGTTCGTGCCTGTGTTAGCTTTGTCTGTGGAAATTTACTGCTGCCCAGGTTGTGGGTATATACCCTTCTGGGGCTGCTTGCTTGGTTGTTCCTGGAGCTATCACTGACCTGGGACTATTCCTTATGTTAAATGTTTTGGTTGGGGGATATCTACACTTCTCTATAATGGGACTTTAAATTCTAAATCCAGCTAAGGAAAGGCTTTTGGTTACAAATTCTTATGAGAGACTAATTTTTTCTCCTTGGTATCCCAAAGCCTAAATAAACTTGTGTGTTGTCTCCCTCTTCCAGTAGGTGAATTTAGTTTACCTTTTCACTGAGATTACAGCCCTTTGAGGAGCCTTTAGGTAGAAATGGAGATAGAAAGGAGAAGTGTGAGGCCTATGTTGACTCTGAAGTCCCAAGCATCTGTCATTGAGTCAGGAAACTTTCCAAGGACAGCTGCAGGGTCCACTTTTGTAACCACTGCTTTGCTGTTTCCTTCTTTGTGTTTGGTCTCTAGGGAAATCCTTTCATCTCAGACATCCGTATCTGTGTGTACGTGTGTGTTGTTGTTGTTAACTTTGTTTTATTTAATTCAGCATTTCTAGATTCTCATGTTATTCACTGAACTCCCCAAAATGGAAGTTTTTAAGAATTAGATTAAACCCATTAGAGGCATAGAGGGAAGATATATTTTATACTAATTTGCATAACTGAGCTACTAAATTGCATATCTGAACTATGTAACAGTTACTTTAAAATTTTTTCTGAGGTGGTCATAATTTATCATCACAGTAAACTTTTTTAATATACAAAAACATTGTTAGAATACTCAAAAATTTGATCTTAGCTTTTATCTCTCGTGCTTAAGTAAGCTAAAACGTTGTCAAACACATCACAAAATACCAAAAGCTTTTGTCCTTATTCCAGATTGTAGTTGATCTTCTCACAAGCTTTTTTACATAGTTTTTCCATTACTCCATTATTTTCTAGAAGGTCACAGGAGATCTGAAATTTAACATTAGAAAAGAAGTTGGGATGAATCCTTTAAAGAGAACCTGTATGCATTTATTGATTTATTTGAATGATTTTTATGGTCCTGGAGACCATGCATCTTTAATTTTTAAATGAGTGTCTTTAAACAGCTGTATTCAATAAGAAAAGGAAAGTCTAATTTAGACTTAGGAAAAATGAAACCATAGTTCAGAGAGTTTCTGTCTGTCCATACTCCCCACGATATCAGCAGCTTTTGTAATTAGTACAGTTAACAGAATCAGGAAGTTAACATTGGTACAATAACTATTAACTAAAGACCTTACTCAGATTTAGTTTTCCCACTAATATTTTGTTATTGTTCTAAGATACTATTTTGGATCCCACATTGCATTTACTTGTCACTAATTCCAACAAAATGGTTATGTTATCTTGGGGTGTCTGTTTCTATCGAATGCTTTCTTTCTTTTTTGTGGGGTGAAGGTGGTATGCTGGGCATTGAACCCAGGGGTGTTTTACCACTGAGGTACATCCTGTGCACTTTTAAAAATATTTTATTCTGAGACAGGGTCTCATTAAGTTGCCCAGGGCTAGACTCAAACTTCTCGTGATCCTCTTGTCACAGCTTCCTGATTGACTGGGATTACAGGCGTGTGCCATTGCACCAGCAAATGCCTTCTCTCTTCAATTTTCAATTCTTGATCTGTTTCTCTGCATGTCTCATAGTTTTTTTCATTTATAGTCAGCATTGTGGAAAATATGTTACAGAGATTCTGGACTCTATTTTATTCTGAGGGTGTTGGTTTTTATTTTAGCAAGCCAGTCCCCTTATGCCAAATTCTGTTTCTCTTTGGGGAGCAGATAATTTCTTTCAGCCATCTATGTTTTGTTTTCAGTTGGTCTTATAGTTTCCTCTCCCCAAGCAACAGGGTCCATGGTCAGCTGGAGATTTGATTAGAGAGCTTTCTTCTCTGTCCATCTGTTGGGACATTTCCCTCTGTCTCTCCCTCCGTTCTAAAAATTTTCACCTCATTTGTTAATCAGGGTACTGTCGTGTCTTTTCAAGCCATCAGGAAGCCATTAGGACTGACCACCTGCTTAAGTTTTATTTTAGCTGTCTTAAACTAGCAGTGAGTCTTACCCTGTACACTTTGCCTTTTTCAGGAATCAGTTTTTCAGTTTTCTAATTTCTGCCATTTTTTTCCTTTTCTTGTGATTAATTTTTAGTAGATCTTTGAATTTTTTTACTTGAATATATCATTCTTTCAAAAATCACTGTATATTAGATATTTTTCTGATGATGTGATTATGTCATCCAGCCAATGACTTCCTGCCCTTTTTTTAATTTGGGAGAAAATTGTCTTAAGTTCTTTTTTTTAATCTTTTTTTTTTATAGTTGCACACAAAACCTTTATTTTATTTGTTTATTTTTATGTGATGCCAAGGATCGAACCTACCACCCTGCATATGCTAGGCGAGCGCTTTACCACTGAGCCACAACCCAGCCCCTCTTAAGTTCTTTTTAATGCTCTCTTGCTCCTTTTAAATAATGGGAAATTTGACTAGATATATGGTAGTGTTAAAGCTTATGTATTTTAGGAATTAAAAGGTTTTGTTTATTAAAAAAGGACTTTTTTTCAAAATTTTTTTCAGTTGTAGTTGGACACATATCTTTATTTTATTTATTTTTATGTGGTGCTGAGGATTGAACCCAGGGCCTCACACGTGCTAGGCGAGTGCTCTACTGCTGAGCCACAACCCTAGCTCCCTTAAAAAGGACTTTTTAAAAAATATATTTATAGAAGCAATTATATTGTCTCATTTGCTTCATTATATTACAGGGTATGGGAGTATGACAGTTGAAGTAAAAAACTTGCCAATGACTTGATTGTTAAGGATAGTTGGTGTGTATTATTATTATCATCTGTTTAATTCAGTAAACATTTGTGGTTTTCCATAACAAAAAGTTAAGGTAACTATCTTTAAGGTATTAAGTATTTTTGGCTCTGAATATAAGATTTGTACATATGATTATAAACCCTGAATAAAGCATCTACAGTGAATAAATGTTCTAGGATTTACTTTTTTATGAAATAACTGGTATAGTTCAAAGAGTGTGTTAAGTAGTTGAGTCATATGAAATTGCCCATGTATGGCCATTTTTAGCCCCCCAAAATGACCTATTTATATGATTAACCCAATATATGTTAAAAAGCATTATAATACACAATTGAATTTACCACAAAGAATATTACTAAACACTGTTGAAATGTTTTTATGTGCTTTTCCCTCTACTTTCACTCAACAGGTAATCATTATCTAGAAAACTGTATATGTGCTTTTTTTTTTCTTTCTCATTTTTTAGTAGACTTTTTAACTCCTTCATAATTCCTTTGTATATTTCCCGGAAATATTTGTGTCCTTAATTAGGCATATAGATTTGTATCAACATGTTGTATAATCATGCTTACTTTTCATCTTGGTACATTATACCATCATGTAACTGAATGTAATGTGTTCCCGTCTTGGTAAGCACAAAGCCAAAACCACAAGCGGGAGATAAAAAGTGGAGAAAGACTATAACCCACAGCAAGAAAGGAATAAATAACCTTAGTGTTATTTATTTCTAAGGTATTTCTAAAGCAGTGCCCTCTGAGAAATGGAAGCATGGTGATTTTATTCAGGGAGTTTATACATGTTCATATAGGGAAACATTGTAGGTACAGACATGTTCCTGAGCATGCTCAATTTAAAGTGTGCATTTTTGAGCATGCTCAGTTTAATGTCATATTTCAAGAATGTAAGATGGCAGATATATTTGTAGGCATGCTCAACTCATGCTCATAGACCCCATGGTCAAAAAGGTTCAGATGGTGGACCCAAACACTTCTGGGCATGTTCTGTCCAGTATTATAACAAGCCAGGTATACTTCAGTTTGCCTAAAATAATGAGTCAAGAGGCCATGCATGGTAGCACATGCCTGCAATCACAGTGGCTTGGGAGGCTGAAGCAGGAGGATTGCAAGTTCAAAGCCAACCTCAGCCAAAGGAAGGTGGTAAGCAACACAGTGAGACATTGTCTCTAAATAAAATACAAAATTGGGTTAGGAATGTGGTTCAGTGGTCAAGTGCCCCAGAGGTTAATCCTCATTACCCCCAAAAAAGAGTCAGGGTAGCTTGGTGACCTTGACTGGTCTTCTGCAAGTTGTTTCAGAGACACTTTGAAACAAAAACAATGGGCTTTGGGTGGGGGGCAGTACGGGGATTGAACAGGGATACTCAGCCATAGAGACAGGGTCTCACTGAGTTGATTAGCACATGTTGAGGCTGGCTTTGAACTCATGATCCTCCTGCCTCAGTCTCCTAAGCCACTGGGATTACAAGCATGCACTACCATGCCCCGCAAGAAAGTACAATTTTAGGGGCTGGGAATGTGGCTCAAGCGGTAGCGCGCTCGCCTGGCATGCGTGCGGCCCGGGTTCGATCCCCAGCACCACATACCAACAAAGATGTTGTGTCCGCCGAGAACTAAGAAATAAAAAATGTTGGAAATTCTCTCTCTCTCTCCCTCCTCTCCTCTCACTCTCTCTTTAAAAAAAAAAAAAAAAAAAAAAAAAAAAAAAAAAAAAGAAAGTACAATTTTAAAGGAGCTTTTAATACAGGAGTTTTCCCCTGAAGGTGCCTGCCTTGCTTAGCACCAACAGTCATACTGCTGTGACTTTTTGCATCAGGTGTGGTTCTCTGAGGTATCCATGGTGTTACTATAGCTCTAGTTCATTGATTTTTTTTCACTGCTCTCTAGGATTTCATTGCATGAATGTATCAGAATGAATTTATCATTCTTTTGAGGGTGGCCATGAAGTATATTTTCTAATTTTTTGCTCTTAACAAAGAATGTTGTTGTGACTATCCTAAGAATCTTTTGCTATACTTGTTTAATACATTCTTTCTAGGCAGTGGCTTTCTATGACTATGACCTATAGTAAGATAAAATATATGTTGCAACTCAACACATAACACAGCCAAAACAACATTTACTTATATGATATGTACTTTGATCTTTTCTGTTAGGAAAATCAGTTGAGGGCTGGGGTTGTGGCTCAGTGGTAAAGTGCTTGCCTAGCACATGGGTGGCTCTGGGTTCAATCCTCAGCACCACATAAAAATAAATAAATAAGGGAAAAAAATTGTTACTTAGACCCACTAAATTAATATTATGAAATGGGTAAAGAAATAGTGATCTATTTGGAAAAATATGTACCTTGATGTAAAATTTGAGTCAGAGAATATTCATGCTTACCTATAAAAGATGGTGTCTTTATTTTCCAAACCTGTACCCTTTATATTCCTACCAGCAGAGTAGTATTATGTGAGTTTTCTTTTCTGCATATTCTTATCAATACTGTCATCATACTTTGCAGTTCAATTTGTGTAAAATGATTTCATCTCCCATTTTCTTTTGATAAATGTTTATTCCTTCTGTGTCCTGGCACTGTTATAGTGTTTGGGATATGTCAGTGAACAAGAAAAATAAAGGTTACTATCTTCAGGGAATGTTCATTCTGGCTGTTCTAATTTTTTAATTTTTAAATTGACAAATTGTATGCATTCATGTTACAACATGGTATTTTGATATATGCATACATTATAAAATGATTAAGTACATCCATGTGCCTACCCCAGTCACATCCTTTTTCCTTGAAAAGCAAACATTCTCTTTACTTAACAAGTACTCTCACTTCCCTACATTTCTTGTTTTGTCTCCTAAATTTGGATCCTGAACACTAGATTTTGCCAGTTTATAAATTTTGATGTTCACAATTTTTGAATCTACAGTTTCCCCCTTTATGCCTTTCTTTTCTTTACCAATTATCTATGGCAGAACCCAGGCATTTTGACTAGTGCAGTCTCCCACACCTAGATTATATGCAGGTGTAGTATAACATACTCTGATTTTTGCAAATGGTGACCATATTTTAAAAAAAAACATATATCATTATGAGCTGATAGATTTAAACCTAAGAGTTTCGAGTTTCAATCCATTTTCATGTTGTCCCATCTTTGGCCAATGGGAATCTATTCAGATTGACGTTCATGTCTTTGTCATAACCCTAGTAGGTTTTAATAATTTCTTTACCCTCTGGTAGGCCAGGATGTTACAGGTTCATTTTGTGTATTTTCTCCCCCTGTGTGGAATCTATATTTTTGGAAGAAGTCCTGGTTTCTTATGGTGGAAAATGGACCTGGATGCCAGGGATGCTTGTTGCTTATTTGGTGATCATGATTTCTAGGCCTTTGTAGCAGATACAGCTAGGTTATCTATATATCCATGTATAATATACAGCTGTTTGAAATATCTCATGAATTCATATTGATATTTCAGATTTTCAGGACTAGGGTTTCTATTCCAACTCTTCTGTATTATATCTTCATGTTCTTTCTCTTACATCCTGCTGCATCCTGGTCCTTTCCAAAGAACACAGAGCATGATACAGTCTAATAGTTCACTCATTGCTTCATTCTACATGATAAACAGCGATCTCAGAATGATAATACAAGTTGTACATTCTTAATCCTAAAATCAAAATGTGAAATGCTGCAAAATCCAAACCTTCTTGGGCACTGGCATGACACCACAGCTGGAAAATTCCACATCAAGAAAATGGTTTCTTTGAATTAGAAAGCATCCCATTTTTGAAATGCAGTTTAATTTGAGAATGCTAACTTGGATATATATAGGTATATATTTATGGCATTTATTTTTTCTAATCATAAAAAGAAAACTACTTGGGAACCTTCACTTCTTATAATTCTGGTTAGTTTAAACAAATGACAGTGTAGGATTATACAACCACAGAAAAACATACTATTAGTAAAGTGTCTTCTACAATGTCTGATTTTAAAACTTAACCTAATTCTGCCAAAATATTTTAAACTACAGCAAAAAAAAAATGTATTTATGTAGTTTCATTTTGCATTCTCTTAGCTCTTTTCCCAAAAACTTTATATAAACTTTCATTAATTAATGATATTTTTATGTCTTTGCACACTCACATCTGTATTTTTGTGTATAAAGAGTGTACAATATTTGAAGATTGGCTGTGTATATATAAGTAATCAGGGGCACAAAAAAAGCATTGTTTTTTAAGCCACTGTAGGAAAGTTTATCAAGTAGTTTTCATCATTAATTTGATCCTAGCAAGTAATAATCTTGCCCTTCAATAGTTTTTAATTTTTATTTACAGGTAAGCTTTTGGGTTGTAAGAGAGATTCTTCATGCTCAAACATTAAAAATTAGAGCAGAAGTTTTAAGCCACTATATTAAAACTGCTAAGGTAAGAAAAACTTGTTTTTATTCTGTAATTCAACTATTCACAAATGTTTTTAGTCAGCATTTGCTGGTAATACTTTATTTACTGTTTTATTGATACTGGAAAATAGTACCTGTTGAATAATATGTCAGTTTTTTGATTGAATGCTTGTTTTCTCTGCCTTTTCCTTTATTTCTCTTGTTTTCCTCCCATTTTATATTCATTCTCCCCTCTCAGTAGCAAAATTGAATGGTCTGTATCACTGGATAAGTAGACAGGTCAGATTATGATATTTATGAAATATGAGACTATTCTGAAGGTGATGGAGAAAGCCATATATGATAGAATAGGTGAAAACAGAATTGCTTCTGAAATAGATCAATCCCTGCCAGCCATGGGGAGAATGACTTTAAAAAATAGTGTATGTGATGTTACCAAATACGTTAACTGAGCAGTGATTGTGTGGCATAGACAATATATATATAGCAGGAGTAACGGAGTATTGATTTCATGGATACTCAGAATTTAAAGAGGATAGTGAGATAAACCTGAAGCAACTCCAGATTTATATTAAGTTCACTAAGAACTATGGTAATTGTAGCCAAAGTCATTGTTCATAATTTTTATAATAAATACATGAATTAACTCACCCATGAATGAAAGAAGATAGAATAAGGTGAGAATACCCTGTTCATAGCTACTGTAAGGCATGACTCTTCCCATGTTTTCCTTGAGTGTGTGGCAACAATTCTGTGGCACTAGATGGCAGAGCTAGCCTTCTACAAATATGATATTTTGCAGAAGTGTCATAAAATTATCATTCTTTGTGATAAGTCAGATAAATAATGGTTTTTAGCTAGTAGAAATTAATGACTTTTCTCATAGATTCTGGATTTCCATTATTGTTTTCCGATTTTTTAATTACATATTTTTAAAAACAGAATGTATGTTACACTGAAAATCACCAAATTTTTCCCATCAAACATACCCTAGCTTTCTCATCAAATAATTATTTAATTCTTCAGTTTCAGGCCTTGAGTTATATTTGACAGCCTTTGCCTTTTTCCCAAGCCCTAATTCGTAATTGATTTTTTTCTCTTCACTCTAAAGTTGCTATATTCTGACTCTGCACTCTGTATTCAGTTTGCTGTAAAACTAGCAGGTCTGGCTCTTCTTTTAGTAGATTGTGTCAGTCACTGTCCTCTAGAAAGACAGAACTAATAACACTCAATATAAACATGTAAGAAGAGATCTTAAGAATTGCTCACGAGATTATAGGAGCTGGTAAGTCTGAAATGTGTAGGGCATGCCACAATGCTAGAAACTGAGACAGGGGTTCTTCTCCTTATAAGTCTTTTTTATTCATATGGAGAGTTGAACGTGGTGCCTAATCTATAGTAAATGCTTCACATACAATATTGAATGGATAGTTTCCGAACTAGGTTAAATTACCTTTCTGTGTAAAGATATATATTCTGTTTTATGTTTTTTATTTTGTTTTTATTTGTTTTCTTTGGGTTTTTATTTAAATATCCTACCCACAGCATTTTCTAGACCTGGGCTTACCTGGTAACAGAGATAGAACTGTTCCAAAATGACTAAATTTTTAGACAGGACCTTTGAAATTTTATCAGGAAGTATGACAAAATGCTATCAGGCAAATTAGAATAAATGTTAAATCTCTAGGCAAATGAATAGAACCTAGAGTTGATAGGCATTTTCTGTATGCACTCTATAAAATGAATGGGAAACAAAGGATCTGGGGTTTTAGGAAGAAGTAAGAAATTGAGGAGATCTGGAATAATGGGCAGGAAACATGATGAGCATCCGGAGTGGAAACTTTCCTAAAACTTGGAACACAAAGCAAAGGCTTAGTAATATTTCAGTGTAAGGAATGAGTTTTCTGCTGGAGTCGGAGTATGTGTTCATACCAGGTAAACTTGATACTGAACCATAACTGTCGTTTTTTAAATACATTTAAATCTGCCTTTTAGAGGCAGATTTATTCCCAGTGCTTGGGGACAATTTGAGGGTTAAACATGGAAGTTGTTTTCTGGGCTGAAAACCATCTACTGTAAACAGAGTAGGTACTCTAAATACAGATCTCAGGAGTATGGGTAGTAAATCGTGGAACATTACCACCTGTCTACATTGTACTTTCTAATCTTTATTTTTCTTGTATTTGCTTTTTAATTTCTTGTCCATTCTTCCCCCTTTTCTTAAATCTTCAGAAACTATATGAGCTGAATAACCTTCATGCCCTCATGGCAGTGGTTTCTGGCTTACAGAGTGCCCCAATTTTCAGGTTGACGAAAACATGGGCGGTGAGTATTCTCCCTTAATTAATGAATGTTAGATTTCCTGTGGGAGGTAAAGATATATTTTTCTTTTGTAGTTCTTAGAAAGGTTAATATTAAATAGATAAGAATTTTAAATTACTTTGTACTTTATTCTTTGAAACCTGGATTTTCCTCTCCTTAAGTGATTGACCAGATTTATGAGGTAATTTGTGGATAGACTACAGTTTGATACTTTGGTTTCTTCTCTTTAGAGAATCATTTTTGTATCCTCTTTATGTATCTTTGACGTAGTGTTTCATATTTGCCAATGGAAAAGTATAAAGACAAAATGGCATTTAATCATGTAAAGATTATGATTTTGTTAAGTTTGAGGAAAAATCTAAATTTACTGTTTTCAATTGCCATTATTTTTTTAATCACAATCTTTATGGTTTTTTTCTTTAGGATTAATGGAAAATCTGATGGTAAACATGGACTAATATGATATTACTATATGTTCTGATGATGTTGTGTTAATCGTTTTTGGTTCTATTACATTGACAAGGTTACAGTTTAAACTTTTGACATCTGCAAATTTGTTTATCTTCATCTTTGCATGATTTTGGATTCTGTACTCAGTCTTTTCAAGTATTTTTAATTTAAATTTTATACATGTAATATTTTAGATTGAATTAAATGTGTTTATATTCAGTACTATTTAATGTTAAGACCAGTGATTTTTCTTAGAGTCTGCTCCGTGTTTTTACAAAGGATTAATGTGTTTTAAAGGTCTCGTGCTTAAAGACCTGACTTTAAAAACTTTTTTGTTATTAAAATATCACTTTGGTTTTACTTAGCCAAGTGCTGCTTTTGCCTTTCCTAGTACTTGAAGAATCAGACGTTTTCTTACGAAAACCAGGTGGGTTTCTGTATTAGAAAAACAGTGTGGAAAAACTTATCCTTTTTAGTTATATTATAAGAACACCTGGGTAAAAAGTTTTGATTATGGCCTTCATTCTCTTAAAATTTGAATTTCATGGACTAATGGAAATGCTTATCGATATACAATTATGAGTTCCATCCTTAAAGGTTTAGGATAAAGCATTATACTCTTGACTTCTACTATAGTTTAGAAATGAGATATATTTCCTTCAAGTTAATTTTTATTCCCCCCTGATATTTTTATCCCTCATGTATTTGCATGGAAGAGTTATTTTCTTTGCTAACAACTACATTAATCTGAAATGAGATTTTGGTGTTTGTATTAAATTTTAAAGTATTTTTTAAACATTTTGTTAAATATTTGTCGATGGACATTTATTTATTTATTTACATGTGGTGCTAAGACTCAAACTCAGTGCCTCACGCATGCCAGGCAAGTGTGCTACCACCAAGCCATAACCCCAGCCCTAAATTTTAAAATATTTTATACTGTGTTAGGCACTGATTGCCCAAATAATACAGAGTCTCATTCTTCTACAGCTTACTTAAGAAAGATAAACTATGACTAAGTAAATGATATATCATAGTGATAAAGTGCTCTGAAGTAAACAGGATAGAAAGGAAAGCAGGACAACACTGTTTATATAATATAGAAAGAGAATTCTTATAGGTGACAGGTGGGTAGAGTTAGCTTTCCATCACTGAGATAATCAACTTGAAGGAGAAAAGGTTTATTTCAACTCAGAAGTTGAAAGCACATGGTAGAGCAGGATGCTCACATCATAGTGACCTGAAGCAAATAGAGACAGGAAGGGGCTGGGGTTCTAATATTCCCTTGAAGGATATACCCCTGGTGACCTAACTTTCTCCTTTTTTACTTATCCTCCTCCTACATGTTCCACCACCTCCCAGCACTTGGGCTGGGGACCAAACCTTTGACATGTGGGCCTTCTAGAGACATTCCGAGTCTAAACTATAGCAGATAAATGCTTTGGGGAATTAAGGAAGCCATTTATGTGGATATATGGGAGTTGAGAATTTCAAGTAGAGTATGATAACAAGTAAAAAGTCAAAGATATGTTCGAAGAATAGCAGGGCAATCATTGTTGACACAGTGGGCTAAGCTTAGGATTAGTGGCTAGGAGATGAGTTCAGAGAGATGACATTGAATCACATAGCAGAAATGCTATTTGCTACAAAGCATACAGGATATGACTCTATTCAGCACATACTGTGTTTGAATTGATAAACATCCTTGTGACATGTGGGAAATTAGGGGAAAAAAAAGAAAGGTGGAGGGATCTTATGAAAATTGAATGGAGATCAGTAGAGTATAGGAAAGAAACCAGGGGAAGAAAGAAAAGGAGGGAAAGTGGAAATACTGGGTAATATTGGCTAAATTATATTGTTCTGTTGCACGCCTGTATAAATATGTGACAACAAATCCCATCATTATGTACAACTAAAAGGCGCCAATAAAAAAGTATGGAAGGGGGAGTTAGTGGCTGACAGTCTGGAGGAAAGGAGCAATTGGAACTAGTTACTAAAAAAGTAAACAGACAAAAATCCATAAAGTCAGTTGGATATACAAGTCTGAAGGAGTGTTTGGGAGCAGAGAGGTACTATGGTCATCAGCATCAAGTATTCAGAGCTAGATGGAATCACCTAAAGAATGAGCACAGATGAAAACCCTGGGACGACACACTTTAAGATACAGATATTTGAATCAACAAAGGAAATTATAGGTAGGAGTTTTCCACGGTCATACTAAGCACTTGTTTTAAGAAAGATTGATCACCTTTGCCAAATGCTGACAATAAGCTAAATAAAGTGAGAGCTTTGAAATACCCATTGAATCTAGCAATTAGAGAGGATTGGTGACTTTGCCAAAATTGGTTTAACTCTGGTTGTGAGGTGAAGAATTGATTAGATTTGAGGGAATGGTGGCGAAAAAGTGGGGCATTTTTTAGTGATTTTGCTGTAAAGGACTGAGAGAAATTATGCTGCAAAGAATTCGGGTAGTACCTGGGGAGGAGTAAAAGATGAAAGATGTGAGGTGAAGTGTTTTGTTTATGAAATGGGATTCATGACAGTATGTTTTAATGCTGGTGGAAACGACATAGTAGAATGGGGAAAACCACAAGACAAAGAACAGTTACTCCAACACAACATTATTCTTGAATAGATGAAAATAAATTAAGTCCAGTACTATAGTGTAACAGGAATAGTTTGTCCACTTTAACTGGAAGAAAAGAGATGCATTTGGTTACAAATGCAGGTCATTTGATAGATTATATTGTGGGATTCTGTAGACATTCTTCTGATTGCATTGGTTCTTCAGAAATAGAAGAAGCAAGGTCTGAGAATTTTGAGGAAGAAGTGGTAATAGGTTGAACAAAGAGAAAGGGAAATGAAAGTCACATACAATAGAGTGAAATCATAGTAAGTAGGAGAACATAATAGATTTGATAGGCCTTTATGAAGAATATACATGAGATTTTTGATAAAGTGAAACCAGTCAACAAAGTTATGTATTCTTCAACTAGGTTCATGTGCTCAGCTTAAATCTGGAGTAGAGCTAAGAATTGAATCTAATCAGAGTTGAGATTTTTCAACTCTGTACCAGAGGGCTCCAGGGTAGTGCAAGAGATGAAAGAGGGAGTCTTCAAGACTTGTCTTGAAGGAAACCAAGCCAAGTAAAAGGAGGGAGGTGATAAACAGTAAAAAGTTAGTGTAGCCACTGGATTTCAAGTCCTAGTGGTATCAGATACTATTACTCAATTCAAGATGACAAAAGGAATGGAAGATAAAAGTGATGGAAGGTAAGATCATTGGAGGATGAGAGAGGTCAAGAAACTGAGACACCAAGGTATTAGGAGTGTCATCTCTGCATATTACAATCACTAAGATTGATGATAAGGATAATACTGTTTCATAGGATCTTTTTTCTCTAATAAAGTCTTCAGAACATAGGAAAATAACAGTAGGTAAATGAGTGACGTTAATGTGTTGACATCTTTTGTAGTATTATCTAGCATGATAGCCACTAGTCACATGTTGCTACTAAATATTAATTATTAAAATAAAAATCCCGTTCCTCAGCTATACTGGCCAGGTTGCAAGTGCTCCATAGTCACATGTTAACTAGAGGCATTGTATTGGAGAGCACTGATCTACTAGTGCCTTGAACTTAATAGATGGCAGAGGATTTTAGGGAAGAAAGTGGAATAATAAACTGGAAGAGACTGTGAAGAGCAAGTAGTAGGATTATGTCTACCTACCTCCAAGCTCAATTTACAAGAAACTTGAGGAAAGGTTAAGATTTGCAGAGGACCAAGAGTTTCAGAGAGTACAGCTGGAAAGGTTTGGAGGAGTGACTAGATCAAGTTAGAGAATAAATAAAGCTTGTTTGGGTTAAAAAAGCCTATTTGGGTTAAAAAATTTTAATGATTGAAGAATTGAAGGTTTTTGTTTTGTTTTTTAACTGATCAAGGGAATGTACCAAAAAGTCTAAAACATCCTATAATAGGGAAAATATTGGAGCATTCTCCATAGCATCAAGGGAAAAGATGTACATTTTCTTTTTTTTTTTTTAAGATGTACATTTTCATTGTTTTTTTCAACATAGAGATCCTAGCTAGCATATAAAATAAAAGAAACTTTTTTTCCTGAAAGGAATATAAAATAGGGGGAATTTTATTTATCATATTATAATTTACTCATCTATAGAAAACTCAAACTACAGATAAAACATGATTCAAAACAATTAAATTTCTCCTCCTAAACTAAACACAGAATTGCCTTGTGATTAAGCAGTTAGTTTCTGAGTATATACCCAAAATAATGGAAAGCAAAAACATAAATATTTTTGTATCTGTGATCATAGTAACATTTTAAGTAGAAACGATCCAAACATCTGTAAAGGGATGAATAAATGAATGAAATGTTATATATATGTATAATGGAATATTATTTGGCATTAAAAAGAATGGAATTCTGCAACATATTACAACATGGATAATCCTTGCAGATTTATGCAGTGTGAAATGAGTAGATACAGAAAGACAAATATGATTGATTCTACTTATATATTCTACATGACC